CCCCAGTAGATAGTTGTATGTCATAGGTTCACATCCTTCTAGTTGCTGTACGTGGGACTCGGCCTCGCGTTGGACGGAGAAGTGGTGCCTCGGGGCGCTCCCGGGATCCGAACCCGGGCCGTCAGCATCAGAGCGCGCGCACTTAACCGCTAAGCCACGGAGCCGGCCCCTGTATACGTTGATTTTTAAAAAGAGCAAATAGGGCCGGCACCGTGGCTTAGCGGTTGAGTGCGCGCACTCCGCTGCCAGCGGCCCGGGTTCGGATCCTGGGTGTGCACCGAAACACCACTCCTCCGGCCATGCTGAGGCCGTGTCCCATGTACAGCAACTAGAAGGATGTGCAGCTATGACAGACAACTATCTACTGGGACTTTGGGGGAAAAATAAATAAAATCTTTAAAAAGAGCAAATATATTTAAGTGCACAGACAACACACAAAAGCGTAACACACCATAAAATTGTGCTAATCTCATAGCTGTAATCACTATTCATCATTTAACACTCTGCTTGCCCCACCGTACTTTTTTGTTTTTTGGTGAGGAAGATTAGCTCTGACCTAACATCTGCTGCCAATCCTCCTCCTTTTGCTGAGGAAGATTGGCCCTGGGCTAACATCCATGCCCGTCTTCCTCTACTTTATATGTGGGACGCCTGCCACAGCGTGGCTTGATAAGCGCTGCATAGGTCTGCACCCAGGATCCGAACCTGCAAACCCCGGGGCACTGAAGTGGAGCACGCGAACTTAACCACTACACCACTGGGCCGCACCCCCCTGCTCCCAGCGCTTTTTTAGATGATGAGTGGCCCAGATCCCTTTAAAAGAAGTTCTCTAAGGAATTTTAATCAATATCTTCCCCCTCCACCTCACTTTATAAATGTCTTTGTAACGAGCAGAGAGGTACTCAAGATCACTACACTGGAGGTAGGGTTGCCCTTCTTTTCAAGAAATAGCCATTTCCATGGAACTTGAGTCTCACACTAAAGTCTTGAATGGAGAGCCTCTGCAAATGAGGAATCCTCAAAATTTTCTTTTATTCATTTATCAAAAACATATGTTGAATCTCTTTATGTACCAAGTAACGTGTCAGGAGTTGATACAAACATTAAAAAAAGGAAAGGATTCTTGACCCAAAGGTGTTCCCAAACCAGGAGAGAAGAAATAGGTCTTCATTTCGCCATCCTAGAATCCCACTAGAGTAACCATCAAAGAGAAAAGTTGTCACAAAGAGTACTCCGAATGTGTTATGGAAGTAAAATAGATAAATGTACTTCTTTGTCATAGGAGGTGTGTGTGAAATTTAGGAGCCAATTATACAGATTTATATACCTCAGTATATTTTTTGCATGAGCTAGGAGTATCTCCCCCTCCTCCCAGTGAGTCACTTGCATCTATTCAAAAATGTTGAATGAGTAGGCAGTGGCCATGCGAAGAGGGTGTAATGTATGTGTTTGTAAAGAAACAGCAAGGATGAGAACAATGAAGCAAAAAAGGGGACAAGAGCACAGTGGGGCCTGAAGAGGTCTGTATTTTTAGAGCATCAGTTTGGGTGGCTTTATTTTGCTAAGTGTAGAACTAAGTACATTTTTTGGTTCAGAGTTTTTTGTCTTTTTCCTTAGTCTGTTATTATGATGAAGTACCTTCATGGAATTTCAAATGTTGAACCAGTCTTGCATTCTTGGGAAAATTAGTCATGATGTGCTGAAGTTGGATCACACCACCTCACGAAAGCTGATTCTACACATCTCTTCCCAACTCCATGTTTAGTGACTTCATGTTGGTAGCTTGCAATTGGCCGTGGTGGGAGTTTTTACACCAAGGAAACCAGTGAATAGTACAAAGAGAGCTCTCCAACCACACCGAAGAAAGCCAATTTACCAGCATAACACCATTATTATCCTTTTAATACACTGCTGAATTTGACTTGCTAATATTTTGTTCATTTGTCCCTCTAAGTTCACGAGGGAAACTGGTCTACAGTTTTCTTGCAGTATCTTGAGGTATTAGCTAGCCTCATAAAATGAGTTGGGAAGTAATCCTCCTCCTATTTTCTGGAAGAGTGTGTGTAGAATTAATATTTCTTCCTTAAATGTTTGGTAAATTTGCCAATGAAGCCATCCAGGCCTGGAGTTATCTTTGTTGAAAGGTTTTAAACTATGAATTCAATTTCTTTAATTGCTATTGGACTACTCAGGATATCTATTTCTTCTTGAGTGAGCTTTGGTGGTTGGTGTCTTACAAGGAATTTTTGTCTATTTCCTCTAACTTGTCCAATTTCTGGGCATAATGCTCTTTGCAATATTTCCCTATTATTCTTTTAATGTCTGTAGAGTCTGTAGTGATGTTCTCTCTTTCAGTCCTGATATTGGCAATTTGTGCTGCTCCCAAACGTTCTTTCTTTTCTAATAAAAGCATTTAATGATATTAATTTCCCTCTAAGCACTGTGTTAGTTGCAACTTTTGATACACTGTACTTTCAATTTCATTTGATTGAAAATATTTTCTATGTCCCCTTGTGACTATCTTTGGACCCATGGGCTAATTAGAAGTGTGTTGCTTAGTTTCCAAATATTTGGGAATTTTCCAGATAGCTTTCTGTTATTGATTTCTAGTTTAATTCCATTATGGTCAGAGAACATGCTTTGTATAATTTCAGTTCTAAATTTGTTAAGGTTTGTTTTATGGCCCAGAACATGGTCTATCTGGTGAATGTTCCACATACACTATAAAAAATATGCATTCTGCTGTTGTTGGATGTTTTCTATAAATGTATTTGTCTTTTTAAACCATGTTTGTCTAAAATGTTTTAAACAAACATTTTCACTAAAGCTCTCCTGGCATATAATCCACAGTTCTCTTTTTATGCAATTTGATTGCAGAAAATACTTTCTTACATATAACAGGTTTACTAGGCCTCAAGTTCTTTTTTTTTTTTTTTGTGAGGAAGATCAGCCCTGAGCTAACATCCATGCTAATCCTCCTCTTTTTTTCCCCCAAAGCCCCAGTAGATAGTTGTATGTCATAGTTGCACATCCTTCTAGTTGCTGTACGTGGGACACGGCCTCAGCATGGCCGGAGAAGCGGTGTGTTGGTGCGCACCTGAGATCCGAACCCGGGCCGCCAGTAGCGGAGCGCATGCACTTAACCGAGAAGCCACGGGGCCAGCCCAGGCCTCAAGTTCTAAGGGCAAATAGATTTATAAAGAACTTGAAGCGGATCTGATTTTTCTGGGCTGCTTCAGAGCCATGCTCAAGGCCAGGTTGTATTTACTTGCAGAGCTACTATAACCAAGAAGAATCCATGGATAGAGGGAAGGAGGGGCTGGTGCTTAAGAACTTCTTAGGAGCAGGGAATGACTGTGAGATTAAAATAGCAGCAGTGTCATGTATGAGCCATCTGGCCATACAGTTTCCACCTGGTATTGCTCTTCTTGAGTCATTTCACTCTGAGTATATGCCTTCTGGCTAGAGTAAAGCTACCTGAGGAAAAAGAGCATGTGTGGTACCTCTGTGGGTCCATCATAACATCTTAGCTGAGATGCTCAACCTTTAGTTAATGACTGTTTTGAATTATGATAATCATAATTTGACATGACAAGCATTTCTGCAACAATATCTCCATATAAAAGATTCTTCATTAGTTTCCAACTATGTAAGATTATAGTAGACATGTAAAAAAGTCAAAAGAATTAACATGGTACTGGAATTTTGGACAAAACACCCAGCATTACAGTTATCATCTGGTCACCACCAGACTAGAAAAGCTGAAGGGAACAAAAGACAGGCATTATACTATGAAGTTACTCTCAAACAATAGGACAGTCTCTGAGAAATAGAGTAATGTGAGCTGTAGAGATTTTTCCCTTTCTAAAGCCCTGAGATGAGATAGGTTAATTATCTGATTTACGAATAAGAGAAATTT